CGACAGGCGCTCGTCCAGCACGCCCTGCAGACCAACAAGTCGGACAAGCAGGCGGCCAGCTCGACCTTCAATCTCATCGCGGCGTTCGAGGAGGAACTCAAGGTGAGGCTGCAAACGGAGGTGCCACAGATTCGGGAAGCATACGACAACAAGGGCTACTCGCCGGTGCCCAACAGGATCGAGAACTGCAGAACGTACCCGCTGTACAAGTTCGTGCGCAACGGATTGAAGACGCAGCTTCTGTCGGGACTGCGCACCATCTCACCCGGCCAGGAAATCGAGAAGGTATACGACGCCATCTGCGAGGGCAAGCACGTGGCTCCGCTGCTGGAGTGCATCGGAGGATGGAACGGAGCACCGGGACCCTTCTCATGCTGACAGGATTCCTGCATCAACTCCCAGGGTGGGTGTAAAATTTTGCAACGCTGGAGCGCGGAGCGTCTGCTTCGGCGACGAGGCAGCAATGGCTGGGGAAGTGGAGTGGAAGAGGGACTGGGGTCCCCAGGCCCTGATGGAGGGAGGGAGGGGCCGCCATAGCCACGATCGCGGTGCAGTTGTGGAAGGATGGTGAGAATGTGGCCCTGTCGCAGGCAGAGTGGATGCGGAAGGTGCTGTCGTGCTGTAGTGCACCTCTGCTCTCGCAGCCCGAACGGCGCAGAGGTGCTTCAATTTCGGGCTTGCTGCATTGAAATGGGGACTGGCATGCGGAGCTGTTGCATTTCGTACCAATCTCCTCACCCTTGTAAGATATAGGCTGGGTTGATGTGCCCACTATCAGTGTGAAGCACACCTTTTTTAAAATGTAATGTATATGATTTTTTGACTCAGTTTTCTTCACAGGATTTGCAGTTTTGTTGTTCACTCCAACTAGTTCTTGAAGGATATTTTCGGGGCTCAGTGGCACGTAACGACAGTTTCTATGTCTTGGGATTGGTTTCGATCTCATGTCCAGTTATCAAGGCTCGGATACATCCTGCTTACGTGTGCTGAGATTACAGAGCAGCTCCTATTAACCATGGGCCATAATGAATTTCGAGAACCCTGCGTTGACCAACCTAATTCGCTCTTAGTTGGTGTGCTACATGTAGGGACGGTACTGAGAAAGAGCTTGGAAGAGCAAAACTTTCTATTATGAACAGTATCATACCCTTTGGATAATAGGAGTACAGTTTATAGTTGATAATCTTTTGGCTTAGGACACTCGAATTTGTGATTGCCGATATCAGATCCAGTTATCATAAACGAAGTGCGACATAAGTACCGAGTGAAGCTCGGTTCTATCACAGGAATACGAAATGCTTTTGTTGCCCACGTCAATTCGCATGTCTGCACTCTAGACTGGATGATGATAGTCCCTCAGATCACCTTGTATGAATCTCATCTCGTAGTCAGGCTGCTAGATGGTTTCGCTGCTTTCTTTGTTCTTTTTCAACTAGGGTGCAAACTCAGGATAGGTGGCGTACTTCGCTTTTGAGGCATACTAGTCTTGTTAAGAGAATTTTATTCTTTCTGTAAGCACACAAGCAGTTAAGCTGTAAACTCATCTATATTTATTGATACTCAATTCTATAATGAATATAGTGACTTCAGAGCTTAACATTGTACTTGTTCTTTCTCTTACTCCCAGACACTCCCAGACACTCTCCAGTTGTTTCTATAATGAACCAAAACATCAACATTGTAAACATGAACTTATATAGACAATTGAAAACCTAAGTAGAACAAATGGATAGATAGACTATCTTTGGATGTAGAATATGTTTGGTTGTTTCATCCAACATTTCCACTCATCCAAACATATTCTACAAAGAAGTTTGCTAAATCTTATTTTCCTCCCGGTCATTCTTGTGGAAAGGCCAAAGGTTCATTAAACAATGTAAGCATTGGAAAGCATCACATGATAATGGTTTTGTAAGGATCTCAGTAATTTAGTCATTTATATGAATTTGTTTAAAATCCATCAAATTATTCTTGTAATATTCACAAATTGTAAAATATTTCATGTCGTTATGTTTTGTGCAAGAATGGTTATCAAGATTCATTATTAGAGAAATGGCAGCTTGATTGTTGCAATATACAATGGTAGGAAGTTTTTGAGCTATACCAAGCATATGTAAGAGTGAACATAATTATGTTGTCTTTTTAGTTGATTCAACAAGTTCCACAAGTTTAGCAATGGTTGTTGATGTCATTAGACAACCTTGTTTATTACTACCCTATATAATTGTAGTAGAAGTAAGGATATAAACAAAACGAATACAACTCTTCTTATCATCTAGATTATTACCAAAGCTTGCATCCGCATAGCTAATGAGCCATAGTGGTACTATTTGAGCATTGTAGTATAAACCATAGTCCTTTGTTTATTTAAGATATTCTTTGTTTGTTTCATTATTATTCAATGACTTTATCATGGACATTCTTAAAAAAATAAGACCTTATTGACAACATTATCAATATTAGGTTGTGTAATAATTATTGTATATGTGAGACAACCAACACCTTGTTGGTAAAGGACATTAACTTTGGAGTCATGAAGATCTCTATTTTTCCAAAGTTTGGCATGAGTATCAATAGGAATTGAGACTTCATGGATATCTTTGAAGCCAAAATAGAGGGTGACGTTAGTAATGTATCTTTGATAATGAAGAAAAATAGAGCCAATAGAAAGATAATGTTGTTGTATTACATATGTTCTTGCTTGAGAATGCATTGGGTACCTAATTGTGAAAGATAAGTAAAAATGTAATAACAATTCTATCAAATCTGGTAGAGTCTTAAATAAACTTTGAGTAATCTTTCATAAATCTAATCAAACTTTAACCAATCCAAAATAAATTTAAAAGAAGTTTCAAAAGAAACACAAAGAAGTCATTAATTAATCTAAAAAAATAAAAATAAAAAATAAATAAAGAAATATAAAAATAAATCTTTAAAGAAATAATAATAATTTTAAAGAAATATTAGGAACAAAATTTTTAAAGAAATAATAAAGAAACCTAAAAAAATATTAAAATAAAAATCTTAAATAAATTCTAAATAAATCCTAAGTCAAATTCTAATTGAAACCTTAATTGAAATCCAAATAGATCTTAATCTAATCCTAAGTCAAACCTTAATGAAACCTTAATAAAATCGTAAATCTTAGACTAATCTTAATGAAATTATAATCAAATATTAATCAAATCTTAATCAAATCCTAATCAAATCTAAACAAAATTTCAAATCTTAACTAAATTTTAGATGAATCCTAAATACTGAATCCTAACTAAATCCTAAAAAAATCCTAATCAAATCTTAGAACTTAAATCAATCCTAATCAAATCTTATATTTTAAACTAATTTAAACCAATTCTTAATTAAATCCTAAATTTCCAATAAATTCTTAATAAATTCTATAGAAAATTAAAAATTCAATAACTAGTAATTCAATTGTTGATTTTGACTCAAAATTTGTACACCTTGCAATAACTAAGTTAGCAATAAGTACAAAATATTTGAAGAAGATTATACATATCAAATATACTATCAATAGTCTTATTGATAATTGATGGTATACTTCAAATATTGCTCAAGGATTTGGTTGATCCACTCCATTTGGCCATCAGTTTGAGGGTAGAAGGTAGAGGAAAGGTTGATGTCAAACTTAAGAATTTTGAAAAATGCCTTTCAAAAGTCGACAAATCCAACTGCAAAGGAATTTACTCCAAAGATGACCAAACTTTAGGCAACCATGAAGACTCATCTAAAAAGGACTCAACAATGTTATAAGCTACTGGCAGATGAATTGAAGAAGGAACATCCTTTATTCTAAGTTGCTGAAAAAGTATGGCTTCTTTGGATCAATATAAAAACCAACAAACCATGTAATAAGTTAGACAATCAAAGGCTGGAACCATTTGTGATTGAGAAATAAATTAATTACATAACTTATAACTTGAAGTTACCTTCATTTATGAAGATTCATCCAATCTTTTATGTTTTACTTTTGAAAAGGTATAAAGAATCGAACATACCAGATTAAAGACAACTACTACTTTCTATGGTTGAAATCAATGATCATATTGAATTTGAAATAGAAGAGGTATTAGATTCAAGGATAAGACATAGAAGGCTTGAATATGTGGTCCATTGGCACGGATATAATATCAACAATTATACGTGGAAACTAGCTTGTAATCTTATAAATGTACAAATGAAGGTTTGAAGGTTCTATCAACAACATCCTTTTAGACCAAAAGCGACAAAATGAAGAACAATAGCTTGGTAAGATGGCTTCACCATGAAGATTCTTAGTTCTTGGCTTCATAAAGAAGAAGAAGAGGCAACTTTTGAAGAGGCAGTTGTTGTCAAATATTTAAAATAGTATAAGTCAGTAGTTTGAGTTCATGACTATAGCTTGTTTATATTCTTTTAATCTTGTCTATTTATATTCAAGTTAACTCCATTCTTTGATCTTGAATCCTTATCTTATATGGTTCCTAACATATAGTTAAAAATATTGGTCTTATAGAGGAATGGAATTACAAAATTAGACCAAATGTCCTGATTGCCTATATTGTAAATATTATAATCCAATTGTATGTCTTTTTGACTCAATAGAAGGTAAGAAAAGGTTAGAAATGGAATTTCTAATTAGTCCAATTAATTGATCTATCATCAACTTCATTTGATGAGAGATTTGGATTTGGAATTCTAATTAGAATGACTTTATTTATTTTTCTAAATCTCCCTTCCACCTATTATCTTCAATAGGATAGATTAAATTCAATGAAGGAGGTAGAGGCCTAATATTTAATAATAAGATTTAGGCTCCTATGGTTGTGGGAATAAGTGGCCGTTGGTCATGCAATTGAGAGCTTGATACATAATGATTTTCAACATAGATAGGTATGAAGATAGGGATATTGTGGTCTTCTTTATGCCATAGCCTTTTATGCTCTTTGCTGATTTTTTCTACTTTCTTTGCTATATGTTTGGCCACTATGAAGTCCTTAAGACATGCATGAAGGATTTCTTTAATGATTTCCGATGTAGCAAATCTTTAAATGAAGAAATGCTTCAAGATATTATGAGTAACCAAAGTTCTTATATACATTATTACTATTAATTAAAAACGTCAAATGTATGATATAATGTCTTTATTTTTTCTTTGTCTAACAAAAGATAAAGCAATTAAAAATATGCTTTGTCTTATTTCAAGCCATAATTGTTTTAAAAAGGCACACTTAATCATATTTCAACTTAAGAAGGTATTAAGAAAATGGTTGCAATACTATTCATATGCTCATTTTTTAATGTGGTTAGGAAACACACTAAATAATAACGGCCATCTTTTATCAAATACGTAGTGAATGTTTCTATGAAATGTTCTATGTGGACCGAAGGATCTTCATCCCTTATATCTTTGAAGATAGGAAGATTAGGAGGGATAGATATAATATTAAGTCCCTCAAGAACTCAAATAGGTAAATCCCTTGGTTGAACTAAGAGATTAATTAGTATGGATGGTGGTTCTTCTTATTCTACTCTGTTCAAATCCAATGATTCTTACAATTGAAGTAATTGAACATCTTCTTAATTCAAATTATTCATATTATCTACCAAAAGCTTCAAAAATAATTTTTTTGAGATTTTTTTAAGATCTTCTAAAGAAAGGTCTTCAAATTCTTTAAAGAGGTTTCTAGGCATATTAAAATCAAGTCCAAGAATTGAAGTCCTAATATTTGGCAAGGAAGGTCTAATAGTTCTTATAAACTCTGTATTTTCTAAGAGTTGTACTAATACAGAATTATGGAACCTAGTAGAGATTTGCATTAAACTACTATGATTACAACGTTAACTCTAAAAATTAAAAATTA